TATGCAGTTTTAGAATATGTTATCGAAAAAGTTTCATGTTTCGACGTTTGTCAAGAGGAATCGGCGTTAGTGCACTTGTTTTAAATTTGGTCTAAAATATACAATTCAATGATTTTTTTTATCAAATCAGTTTATCTGACTTTGGAAGATGTATTTGACGTGTTTATAAAGATTTCACCTTAAGATTTTACTTAAAAAGTATTAAATAAAAAAGTGTCCAAAAAAGATCGTAAAAAAATGTTACCAACTTATTTTGAACACTTATCAAATGAGAATCATCAAAAGAGCGACAAAAAAATTCCGTTTGTTCGATCGTGCTATTATCTCAGATTTCTGATTAAATTGGTAAGTAAATCAATCAAAATTATATGAATTCGTTGTTTTTAAATATATTTCTTGTTTATCAGGCGATTCAAAATGGGAAAAACGGAAAAACACGTAGAGTGGTCCACTCTGAGTTTTCCTAGTTTTCCACAAACGTTTTCCTATCTCCCAAACGCATTTAACTAAGGGGCTGTTCATATACTACGTAGACGCTTTAGGGGGGTGGGAGCGCTTGGCAGATGTCTACGGTCCATACAATTTTTTAAATTTTGTGTTTGAGACTGTCTTCTACGGAAGGGGGGGGGGGAGTTGAAATCTCTCAAAAACCGTCTACGTAGTTCATGAACAGCCCATACAAAAAATAATATGGACTGCAAGCATAGAGTCAGGTCTCCGTATTAAGATTTACTTCTGAATGATTTTTTTTTATGGTATGATCAGTTGTTTCCTTATGTTATATTATATTTCCTCCGTTACTCGCGCCAACTTTTGTAACACGAGAACTCACGCGTTGTACTTTGTACAACAGTGTGAGTTTTCCATTTCCATTTTGCAGTCGAGCTACCAATCGATCTGAAATCAACGAGTATTCCTCAAAAAACTTGCTTTTAACTAAACAAGCTAAATATTTATTACAGTTAACCCCCAAAATATGCGGATAATAGAGAAAATGTAAATGGAAACCGCGTAAATGGTGTCCATACTACGAGGGTTCTGACTTAATTGGTTACAACATGGAATATCTCGAGATCCTGACCAGATAGAAAGTTACTGTCTTTGCCAAAGTAGTTCTAGAGATCATAACCTTTTTGCTGGTGGACAGTAGTTCAAAATTTACTCACTACATAGCGCTAGTATACATGTGAAGTTCTCGCATGTTATATATCTCGAAATCCTGACCAGATAGAAAGTTACTGTCTTCGAAAAAGTTGTTCAGGAGTTCAAAGCCTATAGTTCAGAATTTTTTCACTATATGGTGCTAGTATATACGTGAAATTCTCATATAAAATATCTCGAAATCCTGATCATATAAAAAGTTACTGTCTTGGGCAAAGTTGTTCAGGAAGTCAAAGCCTTTTTGCTGGTGAACTTAAGTTCAGAGTTTTCTCACTTTGCAACGCTAGTATACATGAGGAATTCTCGCATATAAAATATCTCTAGATCCTGACCAGACAGAAAGTTACTGTCTTCGGCAAAGTTGTTCAGGATGTTAGGATCTTTTCGTTGGTGTACAGTAATTCAGAATTTTCCCTTTACGTGGCACTAGTATGCGGGTCATTCAGAGATATTTTATATGCAAGGATTTCACGTGTCTTTCAACGTCACCTAGTGAGAAAATTATGTACTTTCCACCAACGATAGGGTTTGATCTCCTGGACAACTTTGCCGATTACAGTACATTTTTAGCAGGTCTTGAGATATATCATATGCGAGAATTGCACGTATATACTAGTACCATGAAGTGAAATATTCTGAACTACCGTCCACTAGCCAAAAGGCCTTGATCTCCTGAACAACTTTGCCCAAGACAGTAACATTCTATCTTGTCATGCTCTCTAGATATTTTATAAGAGAGAATTTAACGTGTATACTAGAACTACATAGTGAGAAAATTCTGAACTATTCTACACCAAGCAATAGGCTCTGACCTCCTGAACAACTTTTTCGAAGACAGTAACTTTCTATTTGGTCAGGATCTCGAGATATATCATATGCAAGAAGTGTATATGTATACAAACGCCACGTGGTGAGAAAATTCTGAACTACTGTCTACCAGTCGAAAAGTCTTGACCCCCTGAACAAGTTTGCCCAGTACAGTAACTTTCTAGCTGGTCAAGAACTCGAGCTATTGTATATGCGAGAATTACACGTATATACTAGCGCCTCGTAGTGTGAAATTTCTGAACTACTCTACCAACGAAAAGAGCTTGACTTCCTGAGCAACTTTGCCCAAGACAGTAACTTTCTATCTGGTCAGGATCTCGAGATATTCCATGTTGTAACCAATTGAGTCAATCCCACGTAGTATGTGTGCGGTACCCGAGCAAAGTCGGTTAACAAAATGAAAGCAAATCGATATTAAAGATTGCAGTTCCTATCATAATGAATACTCATTTTGATTTCAATTGTCACGACATTAGTCTGATATCATATTGTGCTTTCATTATGCAGTCAAGACGTTTTAAATGAAAGCAACTTAACTTGAAGTTCTGCTGTTAACGTCTTGTTTAAGATTTAAGTTAAGCTTATCTGTCGTTGAACTAACGATTATTGTTTAATTGTTTTGTTTAACACATTTTAGGTCATTCGCAACCAACCCGAGGTGACATTTGAGCTCAAGTCTTTCAGCGTGAGAAGCTTGGATGCTAACCATTTACACCAGGCCCGTATTCAGTCAAACATTATGAATGCAAAATCAGTAATCAAATTGATTTCATTGAAAGCAGGATTAGTTTTCCGTTTGATTCAACAGTGTAAAATTTTGCTCTCATTTTTGATGTGTTAACCGTTAAGTCAACCAAAATGAGATCAAATGGAGTATTCAAAATAAGTTACATCATAACAGCAAATTCTGATTTCAATTTGATCTCTAACTTTGCTCGGGTATACAGTCATGAGCTTAGGAAAGTGTGAAATGAGCTGTATTAATGATTCGGTAGAAATGTATACGGAGCTAAAGTCGACGGACACTCTATGTCGATTTGATCTAAGTAGGCTATGCTTCGTATATTTGAAAACCCAGAACTCGAGGCCTTTCATTCCCAGGAGCTCGAAGAGGTAAGTAACAATTTAGCTGCAAGCTACAGCGTTGGGGGATTCTCCTTTGAACCAGGTGGAAATCCACAGTATGGACAATGGTTTCCATTTACATTTTCTCTATTATCCGCATTTTGGGGGTTAATTGTAATCAAAGTTTAGCTTTTTTAGTTCAAAACAAGTTTTTTGAGGAATACAAGTTGGTTTCAGATCGATTGGCAGCAACAAAATGGCAATGGAAAACTCATATGTGTTGTACAAAGTACAACAGCGCGAGTAACGGGGGGTTAACTTTTATGCATACCGTAAAACGGGGTGTAATTGATCAGCGGGGCAAAATTGATCGCTGAAATTTCTCGTGATATTTTTTCATGTGTAACATGTTTTTCGTTACTAAGCGTACGAATGTATCTTTGTATACTGTCCGATCACGGACACTGGAGATGGTGTGGCAATCCTCGGCTCGGAGGATTCCAGCTGATTTGGCCAATTCCCCCTGTGGGAATGCCAACAGGAACACAACGAAAAGCTCGACTGAAATCCAACTCAACTCATAGCCCTGAAAAGGACTGTTTTGGCTTCGGCTTGTCCAAAGAGGAAAAACGAGAATGAATTAAAACTTTCAACGGCGCTATATTTCGGTGTTTGCTTTACAAAGCTTGTGGACTGTATGATGGCGACGCGCAAAATGCGTCGCTTTAAATGTGTTTGGCTTTCTTCTTTTTGATGTTGTATTCATTCATTTCTCCTTCATTCATAACCAATCAGCACTCGCTGCACGCTCGTTGGTTTGTGGTCGGTCGGTCGCTCGTCGCTCGGTCGGTGCTGCTGCTTGCATGCTCGTGCCAAGCCAGCGGCAGCGTAAGGAAATGATCAAAGCTTGTTTTCAGGGTCTTGATACAAATTAAACATGTGGCACATTAGGGTTAGTTTCGGAAACCGATTACCCGCGGTCGCCTCGGGGTTAGTAGAGTTTTAAAGGATTGGGTAAGTGGTTAGGGCGATTACACAAAACAACTACTACTACTACTTCTACAACACATTACGTTCGCTTCAATCGCGAACATATACATTGTAAAAATATTATGCATAAGTACAATATTGGGTATACTCAGCGATCAAATTCACCCCGCTGATCAATTTCACCCCGTTTTACGGCACCTTCTTTGAAAATTTTCCCACCCAGACGGACCAAACAAATGCGAGATAGGAAGAAGTGACCGTCGTAATTAATTTAAGGCTCATACGTTGAAAGAACTTCAGCATGTCCAAAATATATTCGTTCCCATTCAGTGTGTCCAAAATATATTATGGACACTGTCCAAAATCAAGTGGAAGGGTCCAAAATATGTGAATATCATGATGTGAAAAGAATTATTTTTCGAGTATATATCAATAAATAAAACATCTAGTGACATTTTACATGCAAGATGAGTAGCTTTCGAACACAACCGCATGTAAATTGCATAATAATAATAAACAAATAATATTATTTTGACATAAACGTGATCTCACTTCCTCTAGGGGTCCAAAATCAGTTGGTTACCCTATTCATTCATAAAAATATATGTCAAAGTTCCAATCAAATTCCCGCTTTTCCCGGTTCAGTGGCCACCCTGCCGTCTATTAAAAAGCATTTATGACTTACGGTAAATAAACACAAGTTATCCCTAAATGTGACTCTGGCAGTTCACCTGAATGTATACGAATTCGCCTTCTCACTGCTCACTGTTCTCGCACATAATACTATGTCTCGTTCGCCGGTCAACATGCCTATGCTATAGTGCTGTCCATCCATACATGCAAGTACACTATGGCGATCTTGTGGGAATAAAGTGATAAGAGGGCGAAAATGTAACCAGTCAAAATGACAGCCTGCTGTGTTCACACTCCGCCTGACTATATAAGACAGATGCAAGAGAGTCAAACAACAACTGAACGGCGCATGTTTGACCTTCCACAAGGTGACCGCATCTGAGTTGGAGAATCACTGTTTTCACTTGTAGTGCAACTGTGGTTCCGAACGGATCGCACTTGAGTATACTCCGCTTTTGCCGCCTCTCAGTTCAGAGTACCATTTAATTGTTCTGTACTAACTGATTGGTGAATTAAACGGTGTCTGGCAGTTATAGAGTGATTTTGTGAGTTAAGTGTTTGTCGAAGTCTACAAACAAAATGTCCAAACCGCAATCAGATGAGCAGAAGAGGAAGCAGATTAGTGTCCGCGGCATTTCTGTACTGGAGGATGTGACCGAAATCAAGAGAGGTTTCAACCGCCACCTCCATTACACCCTGGTTAAGGATCGTAATGTCGCCACCGTGCGCGATTATTACTTTGCCTTGGCCCACACCGTTAAGGATCATCTCGTGTCACGCTGGATCCGAACGCAGCAGCACTACTATGAAAAAGACCCTAAGGTAAGCTTGAGCATGCATCGAGAATCCATTATTCCCAATCACGCTTGATATGGTTGGTCCTATCAGCAATCGTAGTAGTCTGAGTATGAATTTGACCTTTAATTGTCTTTTTGTCGCTCTGGCTGAGTTGTAATTTTTCAACACATGATAGCGCCGTGACACAGTTTTACCATTCCTTGCAACCTACTTCCCCCACTGCTCAGGCAAAGGAACGAATTTTTGATAAGGATGCTAAGTTACATTTTTAGACAAAGATTTTCGTCCTATCGAATGTGAAACGAAATGGAAAGTAAATTAGGTAATGCCAATCATTTTTTTTTATCTTCTTCTTTCAACTAAATAAAACTATTCTCTAAGCGGTGAGAGCGAGAGCAATGACCAGAAAAGAGAACAAAATCCCAATCGACAACATGTACTAGTAGTGAAAGTGTTTTCAGAACAGAAAAGAGAAACTTCGCCGTATCTTGAGAGAGAGAGAGAGACCGGCAGATCTACAGATTCGTTGACCTGGGTTTGCCTTTTGTCCCACGAGAGACGACAATTTCCCAATCAAAAGGTAGCAACATAATGTTACTGTTATGCAAGTTGGAATTCCAAAACTTTGAATAAAATTACACTCATTACTTATAATTCATCCATTAGGAGGAATAAACCACATAATGAATACATCCTTTACACGTTAGTAGCTCTAATCAACGAGTGGTTAAGTCTCTATTTTTATCACTTGTAGAACGAATTTTGGTACCTTTCTCCTTCACACCCCCTATTGTATTTTCCGCTCTGAAAAAGATCAAGATACATTTCACGCCCGATGTGGTGAAACCACAAGTGAGGTGATCCATATGATTGGTTAGTTTTCAAGATGGCCATACCATTGACAGTGTCATATTGAATCTGTTCCATATTGCTTGTCGGACTTGTAGTTGAAACCGAGCTAACCGATATTTTTCATCTGACGGAATGGAAAAAGCCAGAGGGCAAAAGGGCAAACCAACAAGAGCAACCAAGGCAGCCAATTCGGATCGTAATCTAATTTCCATAACCTCTGATTAAGCTATGAAGCTCAGACGGGACGCTATTTCGTTTCGATGTAACTGATATGGTTTGTACTGGATATAAAATGGCATTCAGCGCCATAATTGACTTTTAGCTTCGGCTTAATTTTGTTCTATTCGGTTCGATTTATATGAAAATAATAGCAAACCGACTACAGAGAGGTACCGTTGTTTGCGGATGGAGTTTTAGCCGGTATTTCCTAATTCTTAGCTTTGACCACACAATTGCTATCTTTATTACCAAAGAATCTAGAAAAAAACGGATACCAGCTGAAACGGTACTGTATATTAAAAAAATGCCTTAACGCTACTGACTCGAAAGACATGTATGCGTTAACGATTATTTCCATTGGCAACTGGTGTCAAAAAGGCGCTGAACACTGAACAGGTTGGCCTCTAAAGCGCACATATTCTAGAATGCTGCGGCAATTCGAGCAATCCCATGTGATACTCGACAAAAACAATGTCAACCACCGCGTTATGCACTCCATGCTTCGCAAACTCCCCCGGCGCCTACTTAGCTTCGTGGTGCTGAAATATCTCCACCACTACACAAGTGTAAGATGCGCGCCAATGTTTATGCATCTCAGCTGGCTGATAGGCGTTGGGCAACCAGAGAAACAAGGATCGCGTGCCCCTTCAATCATGTGTATGGCGCGTGTCACGTGATCACCCATTTATTGCCCACAGTAGCTCTGTAACCGGTTATTGATTTTATTTGTTATTGAAACTGTCCAACAGGAACAGAAAACATATTTTAATGTTCATAGCACCCGTTCCCACTCTAAGTAATACACAAAATTTTCAGTAATCACTTCAACTCCCCCCTTGCAACAGACTAAATAAAAACATACACACACAAACGCGTGCACGAGCACTATAGGCAAACATAAAAATATGGCCTATAAATAGAAGGTCTGATACATTGTCCATTTGGAAAAGTCTTTCAAAAGACCTCTGCGTGAACGATATTTTAGAGGCGGGCGACAGAGGCAAAAAAAAATAACGGTCTATTTGCCGGCAAACTCGGCTCATCCACAATACGAATGCGCGAGAAAGAAATCATACCGGCACTTATTGGGGACACAATTGCCAAAACAATAAGTCACCCCTAGTAGCAAGGTTAAACGGAATGAAATTGATAATCCACTCGATTACCCAACTCAGACGTGCGTATATGTTTAAATGCATTTCCAATGGAGACACAGATTTCCGTGAATAGTCGGGAAGTATAATTAAGCTAATTATTAAAATATGACATCAAGTACAAGCTGGCGACAAGTTTGCGCGTGCGCCAATCTATACAGTGGATGTTTGCCGTCTCAAGGAAACCAAAACATAGTAATCAGGATGTTTTTACCAGAACACTATTTTGTTTTGTTTGATCGGTAATGTTTATGTAGATGCTACGATTCCGCGATAAGATGTGATGATCCTTTGGCCTGACGTTATCAGCTTGACGGCGCACGACTTCCAGATGCCATTGTAATGCCATTTCCATTGATTGGTTATTGTTACTCGTTACCGGATAGTTTCTGAATGCAATCGAGGTCCAGGTTACATAAATAGCTGAAATTGTTCATAATGTAACGGCCGTCACTCGGAAGCACTCTCTGTGCTACTTACAATTGTTTTCATTCGATCATGATTGTGTTCTTATATTCAGGACGAAGTACACAGCAAGCTCCAAAGCAGTCAATATGAACAGCAAGCCTGTCCTTGGACATTTCACAGTAGTATCACAGTAAATGCTCATATTTAGCAAACACTGTTGATTTCTAGAGCTACACAAATATCGTGTTTTGAATCGATTTCCTTGTTTGGAAATTTAAGGATCTAAAAGAGGCCTACTTTTTGGCATTTTCATGTAATGTCTGGTCTTAGTTAAAACATACAGCAACACAACTTTAATTTTACGTGAAAGTAATTAACAATTCTTCTTATTCTTCTTCGCATTTCAAGCAGCTTATTGCTTTCGATGCCTGTAATTGTATGGCAAGTACCATCATACTCTATGCCCAGGGAAGTCGAGAAATTTTCCAACCCTAAAAATCCCTAGACCGGACCGGGAATCGAACCCAGCCACCTCCAGAATGGTCTTGCTTTGTAGCTGCGCCTTTACCGGCTGAGCTAAGGGAGGCCCCATTTAATAATTCATCCATTTGCATTGAATTTTACATGCATCTGTGTTTTTACACAACAGTGAAAATTTCAATTGATATTAATTTAATTTTCAACGAACATCGATGTAAAGCATCATTCTATTCAAAATTATCTTTTCAAAAAGTTTACTTATTGATGAAACCAAACTTATTGGACGTTAGCTAGAAGCTTCAGCTAGATTTGTATCCTGCTGCAAAATTGGAACAATTTTTGCATTTTCCATTTATCAGGAAAGTATGCAAAATGGAAACATCTGTTAAATAATTTTACCAAGAAAGGCAAGGTACTCACTGGGAGTTTTTTGATGAGGATATAGAAAATTCCATCATCACCTGGAGCTTTCAAATTATGAAATTTTTTGGTTATAGATCTTATTTAGTCCAAATCAGATATCCAGATAATCCCGAGCAACCTGATTCTAAATAAAACTAGTAAAACACAAACTGAAATTATGGGAACTCTTGAATTGCTTAGCAAGTTTCTGAGATTTTTCCGAATTTGTGATCACAATTTTACCATCTTTTTTAAGCGCTGGAATAGGCATTTAAGGTTTTTTTTTCAAAATTGTTGTGAGCTGTCAAAAGGGTTTGGAACTCGGGTCTAATTTCGAAACATTATTTTCAAAAGTTTTGTTCCGCAGGGCAGACAGTCGCGTTTTAATTTGTTTATGCAAATCACGCTGGAGAACTTTCATATCAGGAACGCGTGTTTTTTTATATTGCCTCATACGGACATTTTTCAGACGGATCAAGAGCTGAAGATATAATTTAATCGAATTTAACCTCGCATTTTGGTACTGAGGTAGCTCTTGTTTCAACAATAGAAGTCGTCAGAGATTCAAAATCTATGGTAATTGAAAGTAGAGCTGCTGGGGTTAAAACCTATTTCTTGGGATGTTTCAAAAGTTACTGGAAGGTGTACAAAGTTTCTAGTTGCATGTTGGGCTGTTTGGATATTTTTTTTTTCTTCGCATTTCAAGCTTATTGCGTGCTCTAAGCTTAGTGTTCTAGATGCACTTCCACAGTTTAATTGAGAGCTTTGGATGCCTGTACCGTTTTTGCATTGGTATAATTGTGTGGCAAGTCCAATCATACTTATATGCCCAGGGAAGTCGAGAAATTTTCCAATCCGAAAAATTCCTAGACCGGACCGGGTATTGAACCCAGCCACCTCCAGCATGGTCTTGCTTTGTTGCTGCGCCTTCACCGACTGAGCTAAGAGAGGCCCCAGACTGTATGGATATTGAATAGTGTAATAACCTGCAGAACAATCATCAAACAGAATATTACCTTGGGATAGCTTTGAGCATTATTCCATGAGTGGTGTTTTGCATTAAAATTATCAATAATGGAGAATTTAAACCTATGACGGGTAAGTTTCTGAAGGTCACCCTTGAAAAAAATATTTTGCTGGCCTATGCATTGGAATGGCAAATAGGCAGCTATAAACGTAGGTTGACCAAATTTTGTTTCGACAAAAATTCCCAAAGTTTCAAAAACTTCGGTTTCAACTGAAGAAATAATTTGATGTTTGATACGCTTATGAACAATGATGGCAACGCCACCACTGCCTCTATCATCCCTTTTATCCTTATGTCAGGTTTAAGGAACGTTTCAGTTATAACGGCGATATGCACGTTATGAACTCTCAGAAAGTTAAATAGCTCGTCTTCATTATCTTTAAGAGATCGAGCGTTCCCATTCAAAATATTCAAGGATTTAAAATTCATTAATGCGATACTGTTCGCAAATTTTATTCCAGTTTGAATAGCGTCAAACATGG